CTCTCTCTCTCTCTCTCTCTCTCTCTCGCTCTCTCTCTCTCTCTCTCTCTCTCTCTCGCTCTCGCGCGCTCTCTCTCTCTCTCTCTCTCTCGGCCTCTCTTCCCCTCCCTCTCCTCCACACTCCCTTTCTGACCCTCTCTCCCTCTCCCTCACTTCTCTCCTCCCTCCCCTCTATCTATCTCTTTCGCTCGCTCAATATCTCCCTCGTGTACGGTGACATCCTCGCTGCTGCTTCTGTTAGTTTCGTTTCGTCTGCTATGTTGATATTTTCAATAGTTTCAACTACGTACGCGGTGTGCGTATATATCTCGGCTATGTTTCACACGGACTGTATGTGCACACCACAGAACTACATACTGCGTGTAATGTACATGCAATAACGATGCAGTAGCGGTCACGTAACGTGCCGTGGCGGTACGACTGCGCATGCGTGGCTACGAGGAAGCTGCGGCTTGGTGATCGATGGGTGATTCATCTGATTACTTAGTTACGTGCATTCATACATCATCTCTCAGCCACTCTTGTTCCACACACTGCTCGAACGCCCTGTGCCGCCCCCCCCCCACCCACACACCCACGTCTCGTCCCCGTGTCCCGCCACACAGTGTTTGCCGTTACGTCATGTATGTAGCTGTTACGTCAATATGTGTCTCGTGCTATCCACCGTGTGTCTATGTGTTTACATGAAACGCTAGTTGGTTGATTTACCTGTGCAGGTGAGAGAAGCTGTGTGTGTGTGTGTGTGTGTGTGTGTTGTGTTTGTGTGTGTGTGCGTGCGTGCGTGCGTGCGTGTTCGTGTGCGTGTATTCTTTATGTATGTGTTCCTGATGTGATATTATGTAAATTTACGAATGACCCGAATTTAGATTGACGTGCACACATCGTGACATGGTACAGTGATACATTTATACATTCATATCCTGATAAATGTATACACATGTGTATATATTGTTGATATGCGTACATTATGATAATATCAGAAGTAGATAATAGGGAATTATTATCTACTATTATCTACTTCTGATAATATACAGTGACACATTGACACAATTAAATGTGTTACTTATGCACGCTTGTATACGAGCACGCCGCGTGCGGGCTGAGCTGCTATACCTCAGCAGCTAGGCTTGGCGAGTATGTCAGCGGGGTTCGAGTCCCGACAGAGCGCATAACGTCTCTTTAAGCCCGGCACACACGTGAGTTATTTTACTCAAGTAAAATGACGCATGAGTCAAATTATTCAACGAAAATCCGCCGCACACGTGAGTAAAATGACGCATGCGTCAAATTACTCAACGAAAATCCACCGCACACGTGAGTAAAATGACTCATGCGTCATTTTACTTGAGTAAAATAACTCACGTGTGCGCCGGGCATAACGACAACCTCCACCCACGTTCACGCGACGAGCGACGTCGTCGTCGTCCAACTCTGGCGCAGCCGCGGCCGACGCAACCCGGGATTCGACCGATCTCGATCCGGGCCGGACAGCTGTTCGGAAAACCGGATCCTGGCGTCGTCGATCCGTCGCGCAGGTCGTGAGCCTATAGGAACTCGGATTGACGATCGCGACGAAATTCGGATGTCGCGCGCGCGTCACCGGATCCCGGTCGGCGCCGACGAGTTCTGCGTCTAATTTCCGGACCAGAAACCGACGATCTGCTACGGCGACTCGGACGGTCCGATCGTCACCGGCGACCGCTGGTCACGCGTCGGCGTCGTCAAACGCGACATCCGTAACTATCGTCAGAACGTAATCGATGCATGCGGTCACCGCGAACGCGACGGCAGTGGAGTGAGCGACTGGTTGCTAGACGCGCTACCAGCTTACACACTAGTCTACGCGCCGACGCTGGCGAGGCACGTGAGAGCTGTAGCCTTGCGTGGGAGAAGGCGTGCTGTAGCCGATTATAGCGAGATAGATAGCGAGGTTAGGAGGCTCCCACGCATGACCGACGATGTGTTCAATCAACGCTATGTTCCGCGCCATCGATCTCCTTCTCGCGTGATTTTACGTGGGTGTACGTATACTTTATAATACGATAGCATCATCATCATCATCATCATCATCATCATCATCATCATCATCATCATCATCATCATCATCATTGTCTTTGTGTTCTATCTCGATTCTGAATTCAAGCCTCGAGTCGCTGAAGCAATCGTTTCATTCACGTCACTCTGTATCACGCGCGGCAGATGGGTCATGGGTGGTGTCCATTTTTTCAGCTACGGACAAAAAATAGGGCGATTCCTTCTATTCAGGAGAAGTCATTACGTGAATTATCAATCGCGTTTGTCATCGGGTAGGAGTTTTAGAACGAGCGGGGGAGGAATTTTTAACTAAGAGCATAACCTTGACACGTACTAGGCAATACAATTTATGACGGATCACCTTCACTGCCATTTTCATATTTCCTCTCTCGTCTTATATCTATATCTATCAGAAGTAAATAATAGGGACCTATTATCTACTTCTGATATCTATCTATCTATCTATCTATCTATCTATCTATCTATCTATCTATCTATCTATCTATCTATCTATCTATCTATCGATCTATCTATCTATCTATCTATCTAGCTATCTATCTATCTATCTATCTATCTATCTATCTATCTATCTATCTATCTATCTATCTATCTATTGAGCTAGCTATCTAGCTATCTACCTAGCTATCTATC